TGCTGATCTGTCCCAGATAATATATGACTTTCATACAACTATTGCGTCCAACGGCTCATATCAAGCTCCCTTACATCTGTAATTTCCCATTAGGTAGGGAATAGGCCATGAAGTGGTCCAAAATAAAAGCCTGTCCCTAGACACTATTGATTTTTAACTTGTGTCTCCTAGATTCTCCAATGCAGACCACATACCTTATCCTAGTTAGATCTGATGCACTACAATGTAGGCCACTTTTCTGAGGTATTTGGCTGGTATACATTGACCTAAGCTGAAAGAGCACGCACAGTACAGTCCAGAAAGCATGTTCAAGAACTTCTCCACCAAAGCACATTGACTAGACAACATACAAAATGTAACTCCAATTAATTACCAAAAACAGAACCCAGTATAAGTAGTAACATTTTGCATATGTAAATCAAGTGCATAATACTAAATACAGTAGATGCAACAATTTCTAACATGCAATAGCTTTGTAAAGTCAGCAGACTAGATTTAATAAATCCCTTCAAGTCTTCACACAGTGCTGGAAATAGAGCTTTCCACGTTAGAGAAGTCCATCTCTGGGCAACAAAAGTCTCCAGAGAAACCACCTGGCTGCAGCTCGTGGATGGAACAGGATCTGTGCGCTGCACAGCACTGAGGGAAAGGTGGTCCCATTGACGCTTTCTGCTGGGCCCACAGCAAGCAGGAAGACTCATGGCTGTATGGGGAGAAGAGCACTACTGAAGGTCTAGCAGCCAGCCCGAGCGCCGTGGTGTAAGCATCACCCAGCCCAAGGACTGCTGTCAGCACACCGCAGAGGTCTGTCCCCAGGGCGGCCAGGGGAGTGACACTGCCGGGACAGATGCACTCTGGAAACACGCTTTTTGAGGAGCTGTTGCAAAAAGGCATTTAGCAAATAGCATTCAAAGACTGAAACACCAAACAAACTCAGATAAACAAAATAGCAGCAGTAGTAAGTATGTGTTCCTACTGTGTAAAAAAAGCAGCAAACCTGCAGTCTTCAACTAAATACAAGCATCTGTCTAAGCTTAGTTCTTGCATTTACCAAGAGGTTCACACAGCACCTTATCATCCCAACTACAAATAATTGCATCCAGCGAAAATTTAAGTGGCTCTCATTTCAAAAGTCCTCTGGCACTGCCAAGCATTATTACTTCCTATCTTTTTTCATAGTGTATCAAACTCGCATGTTATGTCCTATAAAGCGTCCTAGAGCTAAATGTTCTTCATCTGTGCCAGCATTTTGCTCAAGAATAAAATAACAGGGCAGGGGGAAGCATGTGCTCTACTTTTCCTAACAATACCTTGTTTTGTAATTAGTAAAAGCATCACAATCCTTAGACTGCTGCTGACACACAGAAAATAAGGTCCTTGAAACTGTTCGTTTCATCATATTTTAAGAATTAATACCTTAGGTCATGTTAATCAGTTTCTGATATATGTAGTTTTCAAAATGCACTTCAGGGAAGAAAATGCTGGAAATGACTAATAACAACAAAGACATGAAGTTTCTTCATTATATATCTAACTCCATATGCGAACATTACTGAAGTACTTTGCCATCTTAACTATTTAGGAAGCCTTAAATAAAAAATAAATCCACCTCATTCAGTGAAATAGAACATCCTCTTTTCCAAGCAAGAGAGTTCAAATTTATTAATTTTGTGGCTATATTTTAAAATGAGTGTCAGCCCCTGCTAGAAGACTGCATGATAAGTGTCCTGAAACTTCAGGAAAAGGCACTAAATTTTTCACAGCATTTGTGTTTCATTTTCAGTGTAATAAAAATATGGTGCCCTTTTAATAATGAATAATAGATCTCCTGGTATGATTTACATGTGTGGATTAAATGTCATGTTTGAAAAGTTGCTGTTTTATTCATATTGAATTTCCCTCAAGTAAAACAAAATGGTACCCAGCTACTGTTATAATATTGCTAGTACCTTGCCACACTGATACATAAATATTAAGCAGTTGATATACTCTTTAAAAATCTACAGATCTGTGAACTGTTCTGTCAGCAGCTGTGGCTTTATACGGATATGAACTGATTTAGTGCTATCCCAAGTACCAGGTACACTGGGGAAAACGCGTAGTGCCAGTGCTCACTCAGTTCAGGAACTCACTTTTTTTTTTTTTCTGAAGTGCCAGTTGTGGAAGGCTGGCACACAACAAGGACCAAGACCAAACAGGTGCAATGGGATCGGGGTTAAAGCACAGCCTGGGGAGCCCAGCACTGACTCAGTTGTCCCTGCTTCTCCTTGGCAGAGCTGGACTGACAGCCTGGCTTAATGAATGTTTTTTAAATGTCATTTGCAGGCACTCTCATTGGCTTATAGTGCTTTTTACAACAGCTGAAAATTTCCTGCCTGAACTTCTCCTTCTGAACAAACAGCTAACAGGCAATATTTTTTTCTGGAAAAGTGTTCCAGAAATGGTTATAATTTATTGTAAATACTTCAAGCAGGAACATCTTCCTCAAACGTTCCTTCTCCTTGTGGGTGAAACTTGCAATGTACAACAAAATATTTTGATCCTGATAATTGAAATCATAGCTGAAAACGTCTTTTAAAAGAAGAGAAGCATTTTAGCCACACTCCAATTTTCATTCCATTGAAGCCAATGAATATTTTGACTCTGAAAGGTGAGGATTTGTTCTTATTGTTGTAATTGTTTCATACAACTCTTTTAACGTTTACTGAACTAAAGAAATATTGACAAAAAAACCAAAAAAAACACACTTTTTCTGAGCAAAATTAAACTTGTTGCATACTGCAACTCATCTGTGCTCTTTAAGTCATCATTAAACTGAAAAACATAGTCTGGACTTGCTAACCCTGGGACATGGATTATATGGAATAATAAGACACTGTTTTAAATACACTATGAAAGAAAAATATTTACTGACTACTTAGGTCTTATCTATAGTAGGATCTTGGCCACCATGAGGAAGCAATAAGGAAATTGTACTAGTAAAATCCTTGGTCTGGTGTAAAGATGATGCAGTCACATCTGTGCAGGGGTTGCCAAGAACAATCTAACTGTAGTAACTGCCTTAGTAGATACACAGTAAATGTCTTGTCTCCTTTCCTATCCTCTCCTTACTCAACTTTCATTCCAGACCTGAGAAAAACAAGGCAGTGCAAGAGTATATTGAAAGATAAAGAATAAACCTTCCTTTCTGCCAGTTACCCTGCTACATTTTTTGAATCTTAACTTGAGTTCACATTCACTTTGTGTTTTAATGTAGGTGAAGCTTCACAATAGCTCTTGCTTTACTTAAACCAGACAGCATTAACCCATCTAAATCCGAAAGTCCCCTAGTATAAACTAAATATATGAAAATGTCCTTGAAGTGCTGGGTCTAAAATAAGTGCCCTTCAGATCATGCTGTTAGTTGCTATTCCTAAAATTGTAGACATGTTTGAAACTGCAACTGCAATTTATCCCAATCCAAAGAATTCATTATTGTTTTATCCAGCATAATTTAAGGAAAAAAAAAATTACTCATGTGATTGTCTGGTGTTACTGAAAGCCAAATAAAATTCAACTGGAGCTATTAGGAGCCAGTGTCTAATATTTAGTCAGAGATCACTGAGGGAGGTAGGTTGACAAACTAAAAAGGAGGACAGTGAAGGAGGGGGAAGCAGGGAAGCTGGCAAGCTGGAGCAAAGAACATTGATTAATGAACAAAAAACATTTTTGAAAGGTCGGGTGCGCAAGTCAGACTAGCCCTGAGGCAGATCTAACTTACATGACCAGCACTTTCTGTACGCAGCAGGTAACCCATGCTGACACCAACTTTGCTGACATGACAGGGTTATTATTTTTGGAAGGCTGTAGAATTCTGGAAGAATTTCTCTAACATTAGTTAAAACTAAGCTTTCCTTCAAGATCAAGCATGCATGTCCTCATTTTCACCGTGTTTACACTGAACTCCTATCATTATTCCGGCTAATGAAAACAAAAGCTTATTCTTCATTTGTGAACACTTGTATTTTGCCCCCTGTAATATATCCCATGGCAGCAGTGCTGTATGTAAGACTGTGTTCAAAGTCAGATGCTCATCCAGAGCTCGCCACTAAGACCTCACTACTTACACTAAGTTTTCCAGTAGATGTCAACCATCTGAAGCCTGCAATTTGCCTCATCTCAGAACAGATACTAAGGGTTTCTTTTGAAACACACCTTAAGGTTTTGGGCTTCCATACCAACGAGAAAGAACCGAAAGGTAGAATAGTTACGGTGTACAACACCTATGTCTTCAAAATGAGTTGGTGAAGGAGATTCTCTAAAATTATGACATTAAGATTTTGCTGTCCGCTATACAGTAATGAAGACAGGGAATCATCAGAAGGTCGTTTAATCCAACTTCTCCTCCTGGTCCTGCATTTTATGTGGACTTGCTAGAGACCTGCACCCTGGTTCATTAGACTGAAAATGAAGCTTGGTGAAGAAGCTAATTTAATATCTTCTGTAAGACTCAAAGAGGACTTTAAAGCAAACTCCGGAAAAATGGTTAAACTACCAAGCATTTCTCTCAGACCTTTGGACGAAGCAGAACAGTCACTTCTAAGCAGTTACTGAGGTGTCCGTACAACCCAGTAGAGACCACCAGAATGACAAGTACGTGGACTTTGCACGTATTCCTCGCAAATCAACGTCAGGAGTTCCCTTGAGTTGAGGAGCAGCTGGACAAAAGACAAGTCAGTCTGAACTAGCTCTTGCTTAGTACTGAGAAAAGCGACGTGCCATTTTGAACAGGGGACATTCCCCAGGTAGGAGCAAAAGCAGCAAGCAAGACCCAGGGGAAACACGATGCTGAAAGCAAGAGGCAGGCCATGCCAGAGTTGTACTGCCCGTAGTCGACTTCTTTCAATGAACCCTAAGACAGTACTTTGTCTTCAAGGCAGGAAGCTGGATGTGCGTGTGCTGCCTAGGGAGGAATCCCGGATCCATGATTTCTCTGACAGATACCTGTATTGGTTTTAACATCACGTGACAGTCACATTCACAATTTCCCTCTCTATATGTGCAATTCTTTTCATACCAACGGTTGTATTTACAGACACTGCTCATTATCCATTAAAGATGATAAACAATTAAAAAGCAGAAAATGTAACTTAGCAGCACTTCATATATCACAAACCCAACAGCTGAAATGACCTATCTGCAAGTAACTGAAAGCATCAGTTCCATACGTAAAAGTTGCTGTATCTGAAAGCTCTTCGGGGTAGGGGCTGCCTGTTTGTTCTGTATCTACACAATGCTTTGCACAATGGAAGAGGTAGAGGAGAAAATCCACCCTTCAGATCATACTGCAAAATAGCTAATTGAAAATGGAAAAAACTCTCCTTTCTCATTCTAGCAATACCTTGTAACACACAAAAAACTCACACAGAAAGGTGGGGGTTGTTTTTCAAGCCGTAAAGCAGTTTTCACATGCCAGAGAGTTTATCTGAGACCAATGTTTCAACCAGCACTAGGCATTAGCTACAACAGTGAGCAACTGACACACAACAATCCTGCCACGCACAGCATGCTTAGGCAGGAAAATATGCGTGCCTCAGTCGCAAAAGACAGAATAGAGCCTCAAGTGTTTGGGCTCCTTCCAAAATAATCCAAATGCTGCTTTTTTGGCAAATGGGGTCAATAGAGCTAAAAACTCACAGAAGCATTTGGGCATTCATGTGTTTACATACACCCACTCGTTCATTTATTATTCTAAAGCTAATTTACAGAAATCAAATTACATAGCTGACAAGCTGCATAGATAAGAGAGAACAAAAGTAAAATTAAAAATTAACTGACAACACTACATGATGTAGTGTATATTTGGCACTTTTAAAGTGAGTGATGAGGGTTAACCTAGGGGAAAAAAAACTGCACCTTCCTAAATTGCACCTTAAATTATTAAATAAATTATGAACATGATGGAATGCATTAAATATATAAGCCTGAAGGAAAAGAGCGGATGTGTTTTAACTTTCAAAGCAAAGACAGCATATTTAAGAAGTGTTGCTTACTGTCTGGATACTTTGTCCGAAGTAGATTTCAGTGTTGTAGAAGTTTCCATCGTGACTAACAGGCAGCGTTGTCCTGGCCTGAGGCTGCTCTTTCAGGTGGGGCCACTCGAGTGAGGCACCACCTAAGCGGCTGAGAACAGAAACTTTGAGGGTGTAGCGGCCTTTGGGGACCTTGTCTTTGACTCCCCTCAGGCATTTGATGTGAATTTCTATCCGCTGCAGTGTCTTGGAGCAGTCAACCTAGGGAGAAGGCTCCGAGTTACTGACCTGGGTTCAGTCGACTTTAAACATACAATCAGCAAGAACAAATTTCTTCAAGAAAATAACTATCATAAAGCAGACAACGTGCTTCTTGTTCAACCTGCAATTACCGATTGCTAACAGAGAATCTGCAATCAAGGTCGCCAAAAGTTACTGAGATGTCAGATAACAAAAATAATACAAATACTACCAATAAAATGTTCGGCATCCTTTGGGATAAGGTGGAGCTGTTGAAGTATGACACCAGAAGCCATTAGTCTGCAATAATAAGGCAGAATTAACTGGAAAACACCACCTTCAAAAACATTGCATGCTCTGCAACACAGGCACAATACATGATGTGATGAGCAAGCTGCAGGCACAGAGTGAAAGACAGGGCATGCCATGTTTTTATAGTAACTATTAGCCTTGCCAAAGCTATTAGTGCTGTGTAATATGCAGACTATCCTTTCACCTTCTGATTATCATATAATCTGTTTCTCTTAAAAATAGTAATCAAAGTGCAACACGTGTAGAGTTTAACAACAACTCCCTACAGGCACCTTTATTCCAAGTCCAGACAAAAGGAAACATCTGCTGCTTGCTGTTGACAAGATGTTGTCTGAGTTACAGAATGTTTAGTATGGAATAAATGCTGTGCTGCGTATCAGAAATGCCTTTCTGGTGCTTTCCTTGTACATGCAGCTCCTAGCATGGAGGCTGGCAGAGGGGAACAGACGCAGCAGTACGATCCTTACAAGTCTGAAGGCATAGAGTCTATCCATTTATGCCAACGGATATTTCAGTGCTGCCCAAATGCAATCTGCAGGGTCAAAGACATAACAGGGAGTTCCAGTTTAGCTCCTGTGTTGACTTCTATGGATAAAATTGCTTCTGCTACAACTAATTATTTAGTGCTTCAAATCAGCAGTGATATTTTTTTTCCCCCCAAGGAATAAATTTCTTCCATTATTTGAAGGAAACACTAGTGCTATGTTGTCTTCTTTTAGTGCAATGTGACACAAGAACCTCTGCCACACTTCAGAATCAAATGGCTACCTTGACTACTAGGTTTAGTAGTCTCACAGTTTAAGCCTACAGTAGCTAATAATCTCTTCTTTAATCCTGTCTTGGATTTATTTTGGATGAGATAGCATATTTCCATATAGATAGAAAGCTTCTGGAATTAAATTAAGCAGTTAAACAGTTGAATTTGCAAAACTTCTTTTGTTTCTCAGCACAAACCATACTTAACAACTAATCTGAATAACAATTATTTTCAACTTAATTAGAAAATCTTAATTAACAATGAAGACTTAACCTTAATAATTTTGGTTTCTGAATCATATATAAAAAAATTAACATTATGTGAATAAATAAGACAATCTTTTTAAACCTCAAGGCAGGATTACTGATGCAGCCAGACTTCGTTATTAAACACATTCTAAATTAAACGCCTCTATGAATTTTTTACTGAAATATATTGTGATAGTTTTGCATGCCAAATGTGACATTTTGTATTTTAGATTCATCTTCTGTAGTAATTTTGGAAATGTCATACAAACAAAGATTTTGTCATTTACCAATGGAATTACTATGCATGGCCGGTTAGCCATCTCTTTTCTGGCTCTTCTGGTTGTTTCAAGTCAGCAAGCCATAAAAAATCTTTATCTCTCTGAAACACAGCAATTTGGAAGATAATCGAATAGTGACTGGGGGGCAGAAACGCCAGTCTGAGGAATTATACCACAATCTCTCTTGCATTTACAACCTTCCTCAAAGCGAGTGTCAGTCGAGTAGGAAAAGGAGATAGAAGATTCATCATATTTCAAGTCTGTCTCTTCTGCATGGCTTGGCCAGCGCTGACAAACTGTTTTGAAGAACTCTTGCCATGCCCAAATGATTCATCATTAATAGCTTTAGACATTCTCTTTAAGCATGTGGTTACTTCTGCTGGAAAGCATGTTTTGAAACCTGTCAAATTCTATCCTTTTAAACTATGAAAAGAAAATAAAATAATAACAGAATCCAATTGATCTAGTCATTTAGCAGTTCACGTCAGGGAGAAGAGCACTCAGAGAGAACCTCACTTTCCCACGAGGTCCTGCTAGTCCATTTAATCCAGTATTCACATCTGCAAGGTTACCAAAGCTGGCTACCATTTCTTCTTCACATTCATTCTTTTCTGCTTTCAACAGCTGATGTCCCACTCTGCAGCAGTTAGAAAGGGAACAGGGAAGAAGAACTAAAAAGAAACGAACTTCAATGCAGATACGGAAAGTACTTGGCAGTGAAAATACATTGCAGTTTGATGTTTTCCCTGAATATAGCATAAGTCTTGCAGAGCACCCAGGAGAAACACCAGGGCACTAAGCAGAGAAATGATAAGGCTTCAAAAAGCGGCATACGAAAAATGCAGTCACAGCCCCAGTAACACGACAAATATTTGTCAGTCTATGCCACAGGTTAACATAAGGAACCTAGAGTTTCACTGCCCATGAATAATCATTTCTGTCTGGTCTTGGGGCTCAGATTCCACGTTAAGAATATTAAAATAGGAAGCCATCATCTCTGATGACACTTTCAGGACCAAATGACAGCTTCGATAAACTGGAATGAGTTTTTGGAAAACATTGGTTCTTTAGGGATTGTGTTGCTTTAAACCACTGAAATAAATCCTGTCACATATAAAAACCTGTTTATGTTCAAAAAAATCTTATAAATTTATATACAAATCTTATAGCATTTATAAATCTTCTGAAAGATCTTATTTTAAATACACCAAAAAGCTGACAAATTATGTAAGTCTTATATATACACACACACATATATGAAGATACATGAATTTTTGGCTGTATGTGAACCTTTAAAACTTCCTTGGCACTCATATGTTAACTTCTTGTGTAGTTAATTTGGGGGGATAATTATATCAGTTCAAAGACTGTTTGTTTTTTTGTTTTTTAAGCAGAGGTCCCTGTAAAACAGCCCTACACTGGATACCCCAGCACTGCCCTTAGTGCACTGGATGTGCAAAAGGCACCAGTACCCTATGGATGAAGTCTTGTTCCTAGAGCACAGCAGGAGCAAATGCAAAACTAAAGTAATTTACAATAAGTACTATAAAGCTGTATGCTTTAGCAATCCCATCTTATCCCATCTTCAATAGACACAGAACCATGAGCAATTCCTCTGTCCCTACTCAGCACCAGTATCTAAATAGAAATGGCCTCCCCAAAACCAACATTCTGTTGGCTTCAAAACACTTCAGCTCTTGCTTCCACAACATGTTTTAAAAGGTTGAGGAAGGTCAGTCAGCCATGTCAGCACTGGCGATGCTCCAGCCACACTTGCAGCTGGAGCTGGGGCAGGTAGCAGAGCACAGAGAAAAACACAGTAGCTCTCAGGAACTGGAGGTTGAGTGGGCTGTTCGTGACTGTGGTCCAGCCACTTGACACCCTGGAGGTCAAGGGAGCTGCCTGCAATGTACTGAGAGAAGTCATCTGGACCAAGGAGAAAGCATTGCACTGGGTATAGTTGCAATTCAGGATTAGCTTACGCATCTACAACACAGGCAATCGGAGGACAGGCTCTCTTAGGTTGCCATGTATTCAGTTAAGATTTTAGCCACAAAAGAAAATGCTAAAATTTGGTGTTCATTCGAAAAAAACCTAAACAAAATAAAAGAATCACAGAAAACATTTTTGAATTCCAAAGCCTTCATTCTGTCTTCCTCTTTCGCATTGTAGATGGTAATGTAAGAAGCCTCCATATTTGTACAATTAACATGGTTCTTTATCAAGAAAACTATTTACAGAGACCATTAATCTCGCTAAACATCCCACTGTCTCCAAGGTCCTGGCACATTGCTACAAATCGGTTTCTACTCAGGCCTTGCTTATGCTTTTGTTTTTTTTTTTTAAGAAACGTACATACACTTTTACCACAGTAAAATCACCATTGGTACATAGCTAAGCTGCATTCCAGAGTCCTCTACCACTAGAATTGCATTGTGCAATTGCCCAGACAATAGCTAAATCAGCTGAGAGGTCTGTATAGACACTAGTCCCAAACACTTACACAGGAATTTTTCCCAAACCAGGACTGATGAGAACTAAGGACAAAATTTTAGCGCTAAGAATTGAATAGAAGTAGCACAGGGCCAACCATGTTTGAGGTTTTATCCTTAAGTTGCAGTCAAGTCAACTTGGGTTCAGTTGTCGTAAATAGAAGCAACAGAAGGTGTTTCTTTAATGTCTCCAGCTATCTGTAGAGCTGAAACATCTGAGAATTTAACTTCTCTCCTCAGGAAAAATGGTCTGTTTGGAACTTTGTACTTATTTAGTTTCTCATGATGGAAATTATTTCTCTTAATTTGGTTAGAGCTGCACTGACACAGGGGTTCATTAGGACATCCATTTGCTTGCAATTCAATTTAAAATTAAATACACTTTGTTGTTGATTTTATTACTTTTAAACTACTGTATCTATTTCCTTTATTAGCTGCTAATACACAATTATGAAGGTAAACAGTTTTCATTACTGAACATCAAACACTTAAATAACCACATTTGATCTCTTCTTGGGTTGCATTATTTTTCTCCTTTCCCTTTTGCTGGGTATTAGATCCAAGAGAATAATTTATTCAGTGAAGTTAGGCCTCTCTTGTGCACGTCAGGATGCTCATCAGCTGTCATAGCAGAGCACAGCTTCCTTGGCTGTATCCATGAGGGTTATTTATTTCCTCCATTAATTTCTTGGCAAGTAATCTGATGCATGTGTTTATCTGAACATCACCTCTATCTTTATCACTAAAATGTTGCTCCATTTCTTCTTTTCCTTCGCTCTGTAAGGGTAATTCAGATGCAGGGATGAAGGGCACCAGGAGAAGCCATTTGGTCACCTTTCAAAGTGCACTTTGTGTAGCACTTAAAAACTACAGCCCAAGTCTGACAGCTGAAAATGGAGGAATCCAAAACAGAGGCCTCTTTCAAAAGCACAGG